TCAAGATGGAAGAACAGGCAGCCACAGTGCAGCCTCCATGCTGAGGCACACGGAGATGGGGGAGCAGCCAACCAAAGGCACACTGCACTGCAGCCAGGTGGGGAGTGGCTGGCTGGGGCACAGGCTGGCTCAGCACAGCATGCAGAGATGAAGGAGCAGAGAGCCCTGGGCTGTCTGCTCCCCCATCTCCACGTGCCACTCCTGGTTGGCCAGGGCACAAGGTATCACAGTGCAGGGGATGGCTAGCCCTTGCTGAGGCACCCTGTACCCTAGCCAGCCCCGCTTGCAGCACATGGAGCAGTTGATACTGTGTCCCACTGCAAAGCACACAGGCAGGGGCATGCACTGGGGCACAAAGTAGCTGCACAATTTGTATTGCTATTATTTGTGCTGCTGTAAAGGCCTGCTCGTGTGGACCCAGCCCAAGTTTGCTTTCTTCAGCATTGACCTCTGTTTACAAGAATCAGCACATTCTGGTGTATGCACCCTACTGTAAAGATTGAAGGGCTCAGCTTTTGGCCTTTCACTTCCAAATGCACCCAGTGCCTGCTATATTTCTAGACCAATTCACACATTGTTGTATGCATCTGTATGTAGGTTTTTCTATTATTATTGTACTTAGAGTTAATCAATTTCTTGAAAATTCAGAATGGGTAAACAGTTCATATAACCCTCCACACTCATCTAAAATTCATTCAAAATATGTTGACCATTCAGGTCTGCAAAATTTGTCCAAGAGAGTTCAAGAAAACAAGCTGGTTTGTGCCATTTCTGGGACTTCCCTTTCTGATCCTGGATACAAAGAATGCAAGAGCAGCTTTTCTTACAAGATTCTGGCACTTCCATTTGCAATCACAGGCAGAAACTAGAGCTGGGGAGACAAAAAATGCTTATATAATCATTCCAGAGACTCACAAAATGCTGGGCTTGAGTTCAGTTTGAGGAAATTAATTTATTAGAACCTATTCACCCATCCCAAATTATTACATGTGATGTTTATTTGTTTTCCAGCTTAATCAAAAGCCTCATGATCAATAGTCAATATGTCACTGGTATGGGATTCAAAGAATCCAGGAGTGTCTGATTCTTGCTCAATCAATAGTTTGTCCTTTACCAGAGAGTCAATCCTACCATGCCTTATTGACAGGACAAGATTTGTATAGACTGTGTACCTTGATCCATTTAATTAGTCTATTCATGTGCTTGTGTAAAGGCATTCCTGAATAGCAAAAGCAAGAAATAAGAAGAGAGTTGAAAGCATCCTTAATTGTAGTATTTTTCCTATCAACTCTCAATTTACATGATCTGCACTGGAAAATGCATTATAATTTCAGGTAACCATAAATTAGCATGTTGAAAGCTGATTGTTTATGAATAAGGGGCTTGGTTTCCCCTTTGTACTTTGATCTTATGTAGCCATTTACATCCCAACTTTACAGGCCAGATTCTAATCTCAGTGTAGATCTAAAAAACAATACAGTTGCTCCAAATTTGGTGCTACTGGGCACCTCTACATGTGAAATTAGCACAATGCAATAACTCCGGTGCAGTTCACTCAAGAGTTTATTGCCTCCAAGGGTAGCATTTACACATGCACCTAAAAACTCAGCATGTTGAGCTGGGGTGGCACAGCCCCAACTGGCAGAGATCTGGAGGTCAGCCTGGCAGCCTGAAGTGGCCCCTCTCTCAGCTTAACATGCTGCAGAGGGGCTGGCTGGGACATGTGAGTACTACAGTACAGGCAGCTCTGCACTGTAGCACCCTCATGCCCCAGCCAGTCCTAATCAGCATCTACACTTGCATTGCGGTGGAGTAAATAACTCCACCATATGATAGTACTTGTGTTGGGCAGTACTAACCTAAGGCAAAGTGAATTAGTTTACTCCAGCTTAATAGCTCTACATGTTTAGTGGAAATGCTTTACTGTGGAGATAATTAGGCAACTGCAGTAAGCATTTCATATAGATGCCCCCACTGAGACCTAAGCTTGGAAGCTGATGGGTGCAAAGTGGACATGAATTGATACCAAATCAGAATGGCAAAATTTTATACCTGACTGCGCAGAGATAGTAGCCTGTTCCCACCCCTATAACTAGGCAAAAGGCAACCCAGTGGGAAATAACCCTGAAATAATACATTTTTAAAGCATATTGTTGGTTAGCAAGAGCTAAATTTAGAATTGTAATTTACACCTCTTCTCAGTGAATGTGAATCAGCATGAGTATAAGTCAGTATGATTTACAGCAAAGAACAGAAGGAGATAGTTAGCTCTGTTAGTCTAAAGGCAAACAGAAGGTAGATTACAGACCAACTAAATTTGAGATGCATAAGATAAGCTTTTGTAAGAAGTAGCTTACTTTATCAGATGCTGTGAAAGGACTGCAGGAAGCAATGCTTTAAGCAGAAAGCAGTGATTAGAATCCAAAGGGTAAAGAAGGGAAGAGGAAAAAGAAAGGTACACTGTTGAGAGAGGCAAGGTGAGCAGAAGAGAGAAAAACAAAGCAGTTAACCCATTAAAGGACATATGGGTTGTTAAAGTAATCCAGGTAAAGGGATAAGAATCCATAATCTTGGTTTAGATCACAGTTAACACATTCTAGTCTCTGGATGCTATCTTGTTCCACAATTTCCTGTTCAAGTTGGTTTTTAAAGTTTCATTGTCTGAGAAGAGACACTCTGAGGTCAGCAATGGGAAGTCCAGGGAGGTTAAAGTGTTCTGCCACAGGCTTGTGTTTCTCTTCTGGAGTGATGCCAGATCAGTTTTCATTCATTTTTACACATGGGGACTCTGTCTCTCCAACAGACAGCAGAGGGACACTGTAAGCCAGGGATGGCATATATGACATTAGTAGAGGTACAGTGAAATTACCCTCAAAAGTTATAATCAGTGTTATTCGGTCCAATGATGATGTTGCCAGTACTGATGAGAGGGCACAGCTGGCATCTGGAACTGGAACAAGGTCTTGGTGAGAATAGGATTTAGGTAGTCTGTTGGTGAAAAAATGCCATTTGAGGCTGGGGGAGGCCGTCTGTAAACCAGGACAGATTTGTCTCCCATGGCTACTTTGAAGTGACTGTCATTTTCCAGAAGGGCTTGAAGATTATTAATGATGTGTCTGAGGTGTTCAAGATAGGGGTTATAGGTGACAACCAGAGGGACTCTATTGTCCTTATCTCAGGAATGGAAATGTAACAGCTTGGAGTGGGGTCTGAATCTGGCTCTGCTGATCTGAGAAGCTACAGTTTTAGGACTGTACTGTAATTATAAGACTCCCTGCTCCAGATCCTTAAGGTGTGTACCCTAGTCAGTGTGATCATAGCAGATATGGTTGTAGAGCTTGGCTGCAGACAACGGATCTAGTGGTGGCAGATGAGAGCTGCTGGCATGGAAGTTGTTCCATTTGTTTTCAATACAATGTAGCGGTGATATCACCTTTGAAAACTTTACCCCTCCTTTTTTCTCCTGACTTCCAACCCTTTGTATTCTCATCACTGCTTTCTGTTTAAAAGCTTTCAGTCCTACAGACCCTTCACATCTGATTAAATAAGTCCACTGCTTATGAAAGCTTATGTTACACCAATCTCATTTATTCAGTCTAAATCAGTCTTTCCTTACAGCAAAGAGGTGAGGAGCATGATAAATCCATTATAGACTCCATACGGCAGACAAGTTCTTTGGATAAATCCAATATCTTTTATTAAACTAACTCAAATAGTTGGAAAAATTCTTCTTCGCAAGCTTTTGAGTACAAATACCCTTTGACAGGCTGAGGAAGCATCTGCAGTTGGTCTGTGCTCTTCCTGGATGGAATGGTAAAGAAGCCAGAGGCCAGTATGTATGTGAGGAAGCCAGGCAGTGAAAATGTAAATTGAGGTAGTTAATGGGTGAGAGACAGGTGAGGGAGAGGGGAATGAATATAGCTAGTAAATGGCAGAGAGGTTACCTAGTGAGTCAGATGTTAGGCAGGTTATAGTGCACTACAAATCCAATGTCTATATTTAGTCCATGATCTTTTGTATCCAGTAGATTAATGAAGTGAAGTTCTTAGGCTCATCTATGAAAGGTGTTTTGTAAATTCCCTTTAATTAGAAGACAGATTAGAGAGAGAGTGGTTTGCTTGTGAGAAATGTGACCTGCAGGTAATTGAGTATTCTTGCCTTTGATAGATTTTTGGTGTGCACTCATTCGGGTGTGCAGTTGTTGTTTGGTTTCTCCTACATATTGTCCAATAGGGCATTTGGTGCACTGGGTGTGATATATTACATTTCTGGAGGTGCAGGTGTAAGATCTAGGAATGCTGGTGGTTCTGTTGTAGGGTGTAGTTATTGTGCCCGTGGTAAATATGCGTTAGCAAGTTTTACATTTCTTGTCAGGGCCTGGTCTGGATCTATTAGGTGTGTTTTAGGCCATAAGAAGTTTGCTTCCGATGATGAAGTTAGCACAGTTATAACTCCATTGCACTGGTTGATGCTAACTTTTAACCTGGTCATGATTTGGATCCTTGTGTGGTGTAAAGGACTATAGCTCCATTAACTTCAGCATAGCTACACTGAGTTATACCAAGTCCTGGACTAAAGTTATTGGAGCTATTCACAGCAGATCTGTCCTGTGTCTGTGTTTCCTTTTGAAACTGTTTCCATCAGTTTCAAATATATTGGCCTGATCATAAATTCTCAGCATCTGTCTTTCTTTTCTGCATAAAACATTCCAATCATATTAAATAATATGGGACTTGCAGTTGGGTCTTTTATGACCTTATTTTCTTAAATCAAAAGAAAGCCCCCAAATCCTACAGTGACCCTTTAAGTTCCCTAATTAGGATGTTCAGAACTGAATGGGGAGTCAGAATTTAATCCGCTGTGATAATTGTATGCTTATATGGCTTATGTATCCTGTGAGCCAAAAATATGGAAGTGATAAAGTAACCAAAAGATGTAGTAATTTCTTAAGTCATGAGTTAGCTTTTCTAATCAATGTGCTTCATATCTTCTAAATACAGAATCCCCTTCATCTACAACTGAGTTTAGAAAATTCATTGAGTTCTGATGCGGACGTCACTTTCTCAATCCTTGAAATGAACAACTGGTACAATTTCAGTTTGATGTTATGCCAGGAGGAATGGAACATCACAGATTTTCTCTTCCTCACACAACAGAGCTCCAAGTTCCACCTAGGAACCATTATAAACATCACAGCAAACCTCACATCAACTAGTGACCTTTTGAACTACTTACAATTTCACCTGGAGAACATTAAAGACACAACATCAACCATGGTTATGTTTGGCTGCGACATGGAAAGAACAAGGAAGATTTTTGAAATAACCACTCGGTTTGGCGTGATGCCTCCAGAATTTCACTGGATTCTTGGGAATTCACAGAATGTGGAAGAACTGAGGACAGAAGGTTTACCGTTAGGTCTCATAGCTCATGGCAAAACAACACAGTCAGTTTTTGAGCACTATGTACAGGATGCAATGGAACTAATAGCAAGGGCTGTAGGAACAGCTACTTTGATCCAACCAGAATTAGCACTTATTCCAAGTACGACAAATTGCATGGACACGGCAGAGAAAAACATCACTTCAGGGCAGTATTTAGCAAAGTAAGTTGAATTTTTATTATTACTTTCTTTTAACCACCATTTTATGTTATAAATTATTTTTTCCATTTCCAACTAAATGGGTCAGCCCAGAACTATTCCACCCCGTTTACAATCCTCTCCTTTATATATAAACTGTCATATATTTAGTTTTCATAGATAATCGGGCTGGAAGGGACCCCAGAGGATCATCAAGTCCAGCCCCCTGCTCCAGGGGCTGGAAGTCAGCAGGGATCATAGGATCCCAACAAGATAAGCATCCAAATGTGTCTTGAAAGCATTCAAAGTGGGTGCTTGAACCGCCTCCGGTTGCAGTCTATTCCAAACCTTGGGGGCTCGGACAGTAAAGAAGTCTTTCCTTATGCCCATCCTGAATCAGTCATGGTGGAGTTTGTGACCGTTCAATGTTGTCATCCCTTGGGGCTCTCTGGTGAACAGACATTCCCCCAGATCCTGATGAGCACCCCTGATAAACTTATAGGTGGCCATCAGATCACCCCTGAGCCTGCGCTTTTCCAGGCTGAAGAGTCCCATGGCTCTCAGCCTCTCATCATCAGGTCTGTTTTCCTGACCTCTGATCATGTGCGTGGCTGGCATGCACATGCATGTATGTGTGTGTGCATGTGTATATATACACACACATTTCTATACATTTCATGTTGCCACAGTTACTTGAACCAGATTATTATATGCCTGTAATGAATAGCAAATTGCACCACAAATAGTCCCTCCTAGTGGAAAGCATGGTACCCCTCAGTGGCTACATGAGACATTTACTATGCAGTAGCTTAGTAACACTGAAATAGTGTGCCCGGTAAAATCTGTGCTAACACACTACTGCACAGTAGTATCAGGCTACTGCATGGTTAGCATCTTTAAAAACCCACGCACTGGTGCTACTGCACAGAAGTGCCAGTTACTGCACATTGATTTAGTACTTTGTTATGCAAGTACTAAACTTAATGCACAGTAACTATGGCGCATCAGTGAACATGTAGACGCTCCCAGTGAAAGTACAGACAACGCAACCCAGCAGATAAAACAAATCCCAACAGGCATGCAAGTTTACACTCCTAGGAGGGAGAAGTAGTCAGGGCCAGCCTCAAGTTTTGAAGGGCTCTGGGCTGGCAGGGAACACAAGGGAGCCTAGAACCTACCAGAATGCACCTGGAAGGGTCTTTCCTTTGCTGGCCCCAGTGCTGGTCTTGACAGAAAAAGACACTGCTTCTTGGCTGCTGAGACGCAGCTGCAGAAGGCTAGAAGTGGATTTGTGCCGATGAAGCCACAAAGAACTCCCAGAAGCGCGTTCCCCCTGCCCCACACAATCTGCTGTCTTACAGGCACTCTTTGTAAGATGCTGCACACCAAGCTGTTCTGTGCTACAATTCGACCAGAAAGCACATTCTGAACACTTACATCTGTGAGTGACCGTATGGCTGGAAGGGGAAGGGAAGGGAAGGTGTAGCCCAATCTAACTACGAAAAGGATGCTGCCTGTACTCCAGCCTGTGTAAGATTGACTCTGGATTTCTCTACTTACAGCTCCCCTTTATTGCATAAACCCTCACGTATATACAGCAAATGTATATACAAACAAATTGATGGTATGAGTGCAGTGTGAGCATGAATACCCATGCTAGCTCCAATTTAGCTAGCATGCATAGCAAGTGCAAAGAAGATGTGGCAGCATGGATTTTAGCATGGGCTAACAACCAGAATGCAAACTCTCCAGAAACATTGTGTACATACTTTTTTTGCTAGCCCATGTTATAATCCCTGGTACCCTCACCTATTATTAGCTGGATTACACTAGCACATGTATAGTAACATTTGTTACACTCATACTTTTGTTTTGCTATGTGGACACACCCATAGATTTACAGATATGAATGCATCAGGAGTATTTGTGTAATTTGTCACTGTTGCAGAGGTTCTTTTGAACTGCTTCTTCCCAGACATCCATGCAGCAGATTTTTAGTTAGGATTCAAATTCAAATACATAGCACTTTTGGTATTTCTGTTCATATCTACTTTGAGGGCTTATTTGAGCTTTTTCTTCTCAGTGATGAGATGAACCTCTCATCCATTTTAGACAAATACATATCCTTAGTTAAACCTCATCCTAAATTTAAGTCTCACAAGAAAGCTGAAACAACTAAGCAGAAGTAAATAATGGGAATGGAATTTGGGCTACCAAACCTGCATTTTGAAATCCATTGAGTTATGAACTTAATTTCTTGCACTCTCTAGAGCCTTGAAAATATATACTACAGCAGTAGTGCTTTTCAAATTACCAGACTGCTGACTGCACAAACCGGACATGTTGAGAGTCTAGCTGATGAAGGAAGGACGGGAGGGAGCTTGTAGCAAATGCTCTTTTACATATTACTGCATGACTATTTATTTCTTTTCATTTTGTTTTGAATGATAGCTAGTCTCATGATTTGCAGCCAGTATTTTTCTTACCATATTTACTCAAAGGCACGATGAGTTTTTTCCCCCCTAATTGGCATGGGGGAAAAAAGCCCCTCATCTCATAATTGCATACAAAGAAATCTCACTAAATATATTGTCTATCACTGAACTGCTGCCAAAAGCAGCATGTGCTCAGTAATGGAAACCAACTGTGAAGTTGATTAAATGCAGCCAGCACTGAGCATGACTGTAAAACACATGGCCCACGTTGGGCAAACATGCTGATAGGAAACTTTTTTCATTATTATTTTTGTTCATAAAACCCCACTTAAATGCTCATTAATCTGGACTTCACTCTCCGCTTTTCTATACAATAACCTTACCCAACCTATACATTTCTCTGGGAGTCCCATTTGTCCTAGCACTTTTCATAAGCAATCATGATCCACTCTGTCATTATTTTTTTTTTAATCTAGGTTTGTTATAACTATTGTTTTCCTCTCTCAAATGTGGGGCAGTGTATTTCTGATCACTTTGAAAGCTTTGGAGATCCTTCTACCTGGTGCTGCACATACTTGGTCTTTTTGTATTTTCTTCTTTAGGTTTTTCCTCATCCTCAAAACCAGCATCTTGTCTATTCAAGTACAATCCATATTAAGAAGTGTAATACAGCTCCGGTTTTTCAGGAGTTCCTTCTCCCCTTTCTTAAAGAGTAAGATCACAACTCCTCTTGTAAAATCTCTCCCTGCCTCTCCTGTTTCCGCTATTTCCTCAAAAAAAGTCCACTATATGTCTCTTAACCCATACCCAGAACTTCCCATAACATTCCATACGTAGTCCATCTTCTCCTGGTGATTTCTCTTGTTTAAAGGTTTTTAAGCACTCCTCTCCTTCCTTTAAGTTCATCTTTTCTTCCATTGCCTTGCTCCCTCCTCCTCCACTTTTTATCCAGTCTCTTCCAGCAAATCCTTCATCTTCTTACTGTCTATTTCCTTCTTCCGATTAAGCTCTTTGGAAAATCTTGTTGCCTCCACCACCACCCCATGCTTTTCCACCTGAGTACTCTTTTCTTCCCACACTACTTTTAGCTCTCCTTTGACTGTCTTCACTCTAGATGAAAAGTATCGGGACCACTCTTCATTTTCTTCCACCCAGGTGTGCTTGTACTAAAAATATGTTCACTCCTCTTTCTTTTAAAGCAGCTTCCTATCTCTTGCTGTGTTCCTTCTAGTTCTTTTCCTACCTGTCTTCCTTCTGCAGCTTCCTTTAGCAGCTCCTGCACCTTTTTTTGCTTCTTTCTCAGCCCTTTTGTTCTTTTCCCCATGGTTCTTTAACCTTCCTCCCTGAAGAATTCTCTCATCATCTTCACCATCATCCACCATTCTCTGGTACTTTTAAAATACTTCTTCAGTGGTCTCCACTTCTCATACTCTCTCATGTATGCTTAACATATCTCCTCATCTTGTTTCATGTTTAACTTCGATACTCCCCTTCCTCCTGCAGGGCTCTTACCAAGACTCAATTCTGCCTTCAGTATTTTCTGATGACTAAATGCCACACTTGCACTTCCTTTCTTTATTTCTGTTTCTTGTGATATAAACACAGAGTCAATTCTTGGTTGTTTATTTTCACTACGATCAGTTCTAGTGAAAACATTCTCCCCTTTCTGCACATCTCCTAGTGATTCTTCTTTTATTATATTTGCTATCTAGATGTCTAAAAGTCCATGTCCCCCTTCCCCTGTTCTGTCAGCTACTTCAATTATGCAATTGAAGTCCTTCTGTTATCTGTGGTCTCCTTTCAATCATGTAACCTGATAGCTTTCTAAACAGAGCCTTCCTCCCCGCCCACTCTGGTGGTGCAAATACATTGAAAACTTCTAATTCTACTCCCTTGACTTATAGTATCATTTTCTGCAGTCTACCACCAATGATGTCTTCCACCTGCTTTGGTTTCACCTCTGAATTCTTGAATTGTATTGCCACTCCAGCTACTTTGTTTTCATTTCATTTCTCCCTGACCACCAGGATGGTCCCCATCTCCACCTTTTCTCAATATACTTATAATCCCTCTTCCCCAGTATACCACAATTTTGAAGTCAGATTGTCTGCCCTTGCTTGTTTTAACATTGGTTTGATCTGTTCCCATCTTTTCATTGTTAATACACTCCTGACATTAATAGTAGCTATATGAATGCACCTGACCCTTTAAGGTTCATCAATGCTGCTGCTTGCTGTGTTTGACTTCCCTGTGGCGGGTGCAGAGATCCCACCTCAGGAACACAGCTGGGTATTCGTATCCCTCCGCTGTTTTCACCATGTGAGGCGGGCCAGTAGGGGGTGCTCCTGCATTGAGCCACCCACCTCCCTGCGCCCGACCACCTTCCAGGCTCCGAATGCCTCCCTAGGGGCGCCTTATGTCCGGCCGACCCCTCTCCCGGAGCACACTCGCTAGTCTGGGGGTAACGTGCCGCCACCACCCCAAGAATGGACTGTCACACGGCCCTGTGTCCTTGGGGTAACACAGGCCTAAAGTCCCACGGGTACTCAACCCAGTACAGGCACTTGGGGTACTTCCCCAAGTCCGGGG